TTTTTTTTTTTTGCCTTATCTCTGGCCATTAGAGAGCAAGGCGGACGCTATGATACCAAGGCTGAAACCGTATGAAAGCAGCCCACCGTGCCGGCCCAACATAATCACGGTGGCCACACCCGGCGTCACGGCGACACGGGCGCAGATATCGCGTTACACTGGCACGGATGGTGTAGATGTGCTGGAAAATGCATGTAGCTGGCGGCCAGGTGGTGAAAATCGCCGCGAACCGAACCCGAGTGGGGAAACGACTTCTCTTCTTAACGGCAATAACGAATGTGTGCTAACACCGGATGTGGATCCCCCACTTCTGTACCACGCCACGTGTCGTCTGGCCCCTCGGTTGTTAAATAACGTTATGGCATCCCCAGAGATGGATGAGGTTGTGTACAACAGGTGTAGCTTTAATCCAGTTCATTGGTTTCTGATGGTTAAGGAGTTCTTCACCGCGGTTTTTTTCTCTGTCCGTCCCGTGCGCTTCGCGTACTCAAGGGTTCGGATGACGAACCTGGGCGGGGAGAGAGACCAGGCGGTGTGTGAGCGGGAAATTCGTCGGGCGGTGCGTAAAATAAAGGAGCGCGGCGCCGACGGCTCATCACCGGAGCGGCCACTCCGTCTTCGACTCGTCTTGTTCGGCTGCAGCCGTGGAGCGACGACAACGCTTTATACAGCGCTTAAACTCCCGTACGAACTTGCTTGTTATGTTTCCTTGGTGGTCGTTGAAGCGCCGTTTGATACTCTGCACGATGTGATAGCGGAGTCATCTTGGTTTCCGAATTTTACCATGTGGTTCTTTCGTACCTTTTGTGAATACAACGGCAATGAACCGTACGCATTTGACCCGAGTCGTGTGCAGCTGCGGTGTCCCGTCGCCTTTGTACTTTCTCTGAAGGACACAAGAGTGCCAAACAAGCTCACGCGTCGGCTGATCAACGTTCTGAAGACGCAGTGTCCGCAGATTCCCGCGGTGGAAGTGCTGGAGCTGAAACACAGCCGCCATCCATTGATGGCTGTCGGGCATCGCGAAGACCAAGACGCCTATGTTGCATTTATGGAGCGGCTGTACGACACATACTGCAGTTGATGTGTGCCAAGTCGATTGCTGTCGCAACAGGTATTCTGCAGCTCTGCAAGTCACAGAGCTGGTGTTTTCATGAGTTTTTGGAGACACTTTTTTTTTGGTTTTTGTGTGTGTGTGTGTGTGTGCGTTTCCGACATCAGTCTTTGCTGAAGCCAATGCGATTGTCGTTTTTCGGTTCAAGCATGTTGTTCGTTGCCCCTCTAGGCAAAAAAAAAAAATTCACATAAGCCGACGAGTTGGTGCCTTTGCAGTTGACGTCGTTCTTGAGTTTGTGTTGCTGATCGCAATCTTCGATTCTGGCGAACCATCATGTCTTTCTCCTTTGTGAAAACGGTACGGTGCCCAACTTCATTACTCCTTCACATGAGGAGAACTGAGGAGTGAAGAATCATCGTGTTTTTTTTTTGCCTTTCCTCCTTGTCAACGACTCGATTAGCGTTTCTTACTACGCGGGATTCGTGTTTCCTGTGAAAGTCATCATGCGGCTTCACAAAGCAAAGGAGCATCAAAAACAATGCAGCGTCTCACTGTTAGTTGAAGAGGAAAATGTTGTGGATTACGACACGTATCACGATGCTCTGGCGGCTTCCACCTCCACCCCGCTGCTCTGGGATAGCGACACGAGGTCATTGAGAGAGCAATTCAGGGCCACAATCCCTGAAAAGCAACACCGTCACTACTTACCACATGAACGGCAGAAGATGGAGCGGTACGAGTCTGTTGACACCTACGAGCCCTCAACGACAGTGTACAAAGACCATCTGGAAAGCCGAAGTCAGGAGCCTCGGTGGTTTATATGGGTTTTTGTGTTTGGATTGGGCGTCACGTCGAGTGCTGTCGCCATCGTGGTGGTGTCTTTGCTGCATGTACTGAATGGCCTGCGGTATGAATTGTTGGCCTTTGGCCTTCGAGGATTCTCTTTTAACGATCTGAACCGGTATGCGCAAGAGGGGATGTCAAACCAGACGGGATTAGACATCGCCGCATTGTTGCAAGGCAGTGGCGTGGGTCTGTATGGCATCGAACCACGCTCCTATACCAAGGGGTACTTAATGTGGGTAGCTTTTAGCCTGATCATGTCTCTGCTGTCAAGTTTCATTTGCGCCCTTGTCCCCGAGAGTATCGGATCAGGGTTACCCGAAGTAATGGCTTATCTGAATGGTGTTCACTACCCCACGCTGAGCAGTTTCCGGGTGCTCCTTGCCAGGGTGTGTGCCATCATATTCAGTGTTTCCAGTGGTGTCTGTACAGGTCATTTTGGTACTCTGATTCTGTCGGGTGCGATGCTCGGTGCACAGGCCCTCCAAAGGCGTCGTTATTTCCGTTGTGACTGCGTAAATATTATTGACTGTTTTCGCAATCCACGTGATCGCCGAAGTATTATTGTGATTGGCGCCGCAGCTGGAGTGGCATCTGCCTTTAGCGTTTCTATTGGAGGGCTGATGGTGGTTGTGGAACTTATTCCCACCATCCTTCCTGTTCGGTTTGCACTCTACGTCTTTGTTGCGTCCCTCATATCTTCACTAACACTGCAGGCCTACTTTTCATACTTTTCCTACTTTGACCTTCGTGATCGAAATTCATATCCCCGGGGGGAATTGATGTCGGAGATGGTGCAGTCGTTTGCATCGAGTGTGCCATTTGAAGGTCTGGTGCGGATGCACATTATCTACTTTCTTCCAGCAGTTGGCATTGGGCTCCTGTGTGGTGTTCTTGCTGGCGTGTATGTTCGATTGAGTTGGATAGCCTTGGTTCTCCGGCGTCGAATGGAGAAGCGACTACATACGAAAGCCATCCGCTATTTGTTACCGGTTGTGTTTACGGTGGTGTACATTACACTTAACTACTGGGTTGTTGTTGCACTTGGAAGTGATGGTTGGTCGCCATCGTCATTACCTGCTTCTCCGACGTGCAACACCACCGACGATGAGTTATCACTCAATTTGAAACAGCAAGATCACCAGTATCATGAATTGTCGTTTGCGTTACATGAAGCGGGAAGCGAGTCGTCTTCCTTCATGAGCACCGGGACGGTGGGTTGGCCGTGCGTTGGCGTTCCCTTGACTGTGCTCGCCACCCGAAATGTCTCCACTGTTGCCTATTACGGAGCTAATGGTTTTTTCTGCGCAGCGCTGAACACCGAAACGAATCTCACCTTGAAGACACAAGAAAAGGCACAGATGTTAAGCGTGTTACACTCGTACGCTTCCCTCGCTTTCGCCAACGCCGACTCCGCGGTGCAAACTCTCTTAAGTTGGCGGACAGAAGAAATGCTGCAGGCACCTGTACTTGCCATATTTCTCGTGATTTACTTTATTGCTTCTGCCCTGTTTCTAGGCGTCTCATTGTGTGGTGGCACCTTGTTACCTGGTCTTGTTGTTGGTGCTGCAATTGGTCGACTGGTTGGCCTTGGTGTCTTCTTTGCGGAGGCATCTGTTGTGAAGAGCGGTGTGCGTTCAACGTGGGCAGATCCCGGTTGCTTTGCCCTCATCGGTGCCGGTAGTTTTGTCGGCGGTACGACAGGTCTTACTTTTTCCATCTGTACCATTCTAATGGAGACCACTGGTGACTTTCAACACCTCCTTCCACTTATGATGGGCATAACAATCGCCAAAAAGACGGCGGAACTCTTCACGCATAATATCAATGCTATGATCCTCGAGGCGCGATGTGTGCCGATGCTCGATTTTGAGAATCAGCTGCACAAGTATCCTATGTATGATGCCCGTCATGTGATGGCACCGCATGTGGTGACGCTGGAGACAGTGTGTACCCTTCGTCGTATCTTTGAGGTACTGCACAGTACGCGCCACAATGCATTCCCGATAGAGAGCGTGCAGGACCGGACGTACAAGGGCATCATTGTGCGTCAGCAATTGGAGATTCTCCTATGGCACACACATTTCGCACACTTGCCCTCTACTTGCACCTATGAGATTGGGAAGAAGGTAGAGGCTCGCCTGTTTCACGACGGTCTGCTTGGCACCTTGCCATCATTGGAAAAGAAGCTAGATATTCGCATGGACCTCTCTCCTTACATTGATCACTCGGGGTTCTGTGTGCTTGATACAACAACGCTTCCACGAGCTTACACTATGTTCCGAACGCTGGGTCTACGCCATCTGACTGTGGTAAACAGGGACAATCGCATTGTTGGGATTATCACGAGGAAAGATCTGGTGTCTGACCGTATTATTGAGGCCATCAGTGCCGCTGAAGAGACCCGCCGTTTGTTAATGGAAGCGAGACGCCGCACGGGTCCAGAATTTCCAGCAGATGTTGGGATAAGCCAAAACAAGAATAACAACAGGGATGATGTCGGTGTTTGTCTTGTCGGTGCGCCAGGTTCTCTTTGTTCCACAAGGTCTCTCGTGAAGGGCCTACGGCGCGATGAACTCGATGATGAGTCGTACCGCTTGGATGAGTGGATCCTAATGAGTAGAGACAATGGCACTGGTGAAGACGACACATCTTCGATGGAGACGCTGATGCATCCCAGCCCATCGTGGGTTTCTGCCATTCGCGCGCAAGCTAAGAAGAAAAGAGAACCATCGTTTGCAGTACCGAACACCCCCTTTGGGCCATCCGATGCAAACAGCACTGAGCAAGAGGCATTGCTTTCGCCCACGTTGAGGATCGGTTTGCGTGAAGGGTATGCTTGCCCCACGAAGGATACCACGTCTGGAAAGCCGCTGCCAGTAAATCGGCCAGGTTATCACGCATTGTCGCCCTCTGCCCGCATGTTCATGGCGTCCTCGGTGGAGTATATGGAACAATGAAAATGCGGAGAGAAGGCATGGAGCCCAAACGATGCGACTTCGTCGTTTGAACCAACACGTGCGGAGGTGGGGGAGTGATTGCAGGGGTCACTATTGCCGTTAAAGGTGCAGGTACGGTGTGCTACCGTACCGGCTCTTTAGCAATGAAAGGAGGCACAACGCTGGTGGATAAGCACCATTGCCAAAGTGGCCTCGTCGTGCAGAATATTGGGGAAGAAAAACAGAAAAGGGAAGAATGAATGATGTCGGAGCATTAATGCGTTTTGCTGTGTATGTGATACAAAAAATATATCATGTTTTTTTCTTATTCTGGTGATATCGCGCCTAGGCAAAAGCGTGTCGGTTTGAGTCTTTATGTTTATCGATGGGAGTTTATTCTTGTGCCCATTTGTCTAGATGCTGAATCATATTGCTGTTGCCTGTGGGCACACACAAGTGCACTCCCGCACAGGTAGTTTGCGTGTGGTGGTGTGATGTGAAGTGCCATGATAGCTGTGCCCATTCGTTTTCTTTTTATCCCACGTCGTTGTTGTTGTTGTTGTATACCTGCTGATGTCATTGCAAAGAGAAGAGGTTTCCTCATCCAACCATCCCCTTTGTTAGCGGCAGGGGGGATGCCGGACAGAGACAAAGCGGCGGTGGAAGAACAGCATCACGTGGTTTACGCCGGTGCCGTGTTGATTCCGTTCTGCGTCGGGAGTGTAGCACTGCCGCTCTCGCTGTGTCGATCTTTCCCGCCAGCGTCTGCGACGACAGCAGCGGCAGCATCCACCGCGGCTCAACCAGCCTCGGCGTCGACAACGTCGCGCGGCGCAAAGCAGCAACAGCAGCAGCGAAGGCGACGGAAAGACGGCAGCCACCAAGCTGAAACACACGAAGAAGTTGACGGTGAAGACCCGCACGACTACAACGAAGGCATCAGTCGATGCACACACATAAGATACAGCTACCTGCGGGATGGAGCCATTGCTGCACAGGATCTGGCATACCGCCGCGCATGGTACATTGGTAGCACCAGCAGCGCTGGTGGTGCTGGTGGGCTCTCCTCCACTGCAGCGGAGATGGAAAAGGAGGAGGGTGACAATGCAGCAGTGACTTCTGCGTCCCCGCTCTACGCGCTCGTTGAACGTGTCGTGTTTAAACTCCCTAACAGCTTTCCAGAGCCACGGCGTGAGTTGACTCACCCACCTTTCTTCGTCGTGGACGACACTTGGGCGGAGCATATGGTAGAACTGGAGGTGCACTTTCGCCCCCACCTCGGCATCGCACCCTTTACTGTGACTCACATGGTACCGCTGCAGAGACGCGCAGACATACCACCTCAACTGCTGAGCTCTACCTTTGGGCAAAGCAAGCCAGCACCAACTGTCATTCTACCGCCCTCTGACCTGACAGCAGCCTCGTTGTCATCATCGGCGGGAGCGGTGGTGCAACCGCGTCCAAAGCGACGTGATGTCTTGCGGAGTGAAGGTCATCCTGCTGCCGCTGGCGATGGTGACGATGGCGGCAACGCTACGACCGAGGGTGGTGTCACTGGGGAGAACGGGATTTGCATCACTGTCAAGAACCTGGAGGATGTGTTCATCTTCGCGGAGCGACGGGACGCAATACGTGTCTTCCACCCCACACCAAGGGTTTTGAAGTATTTATCGTCAGTACGGGCAATGCCGCAGCCAAGGTTGGAGGAGCCACCGCCTTTCTGCGCTTTTCCAGGGCAGATAGTAGTGCCGATGGATGTACACCTGAGCAAAATGGAGGGCGCTGGTGATGGTGCGCATCACAGTGGAGTGAAGCGCCGTCGGTCCGGTGATGACGACAGCAACACCGACAAAGACAGCGGTGATGGTATTGGAAACAACAATCTGGCGAAAATCTCTGGTGGGAATCTTCTCCCAGCCTGGTGCTTTCCGTTCGAGGGTATCGTGCACGCTCTTGAGCCAAAACGGCAGGACGGGGCCGTCGACGCGATGCGTGCTGTGCTCGACGCGTTGCGGAAGGAACAGGTGGAGCTGCGGGAGAGCATCGAGCAGAGGATCAGCTCTGCAAACGCCAATGGGGAGAAACTGCGAGACGTCATTCAGCGCATGAGGGACACCTGCGCATTGTTGAGGGAGCCGGAGAGACAATGAGCAGGNGGGGGGGGGGGCATGAAATGAAGGAGCTGAAAGAAAGCAAATCTCACTGATGATTACGGACATGCATACACACACAAACACGCACTCTACTTTAAGCACTCATTCTGTATTCCATTCCCGTGTCTTTTTCGATTTAAACAAAAACAAATCAAGGTGAATCACACTGCAATACCGAAATAAACAGAACTAGGGTGTAAAAGGTCTTTCATTTTTGTGCTGTTATTATTTCAGATGACTGACACCACACGTCCGTTGGGTGCCATTACTGTCTGTGGGCCGTCGGGCGTGGGAAAAGGAACACTCCTTGGGCGGCTGATGAGGACGTATCCCGACCGCTTCGGTTACTCAGTGTCACACACAACTCGTGCGCCACGTGAGGGGGAAGTGAATGGGCGCGAGTACCACTTTGTCGACCGTCCCACAATGGAGAAGTTGCGGGACAGCGGTGAATTCCTTGAGGTGTGCGAGGTACATGGTAACCTCTACGGCACCACCGTGAAGGCAGTAAAGGATGTGCAAGACACCGGCAATATATGCATCATTGAGACGGATGTAAAGGGTGCACAGAAATTGCGTGAGAGGGCTTCTCATCTCAACATGTTGTACATATTCTTCAATGCTCCGTCAATGGAGGACCTCCGGGAACGCATTAAGAAGAGAGGAGCAGACAGTGAAGAAGTCTTGCAGCATCGCCTGGAGACGGCTGAAGAGGAGCTGCAGTTTTTGAAGGAAAACCCAGGGTTCTTCTCGCATGTTATCGTCAACAAGGACCTAGAAAAAACGTATGAGGAACTCCTGAGCATTGTTAACGCGACATTGGAGAAACACGACATGGCGAAGCTGGAAGATGGTTCATTATGCAAGGGCAAGTAAGAGTGTCAGTTTTCTAAGCATTCCTGAATGTGCCCTTGGGGAGGTGAAAGGGCGTTGCTCTGCGTCAATGGGTATCTAAGGAAGGCCACGGTAACCAATAGGACAGCAAGAACCTATATATATCTGTTACCATGTATATATATATATATATATA